GATAGAGCACCTGAAGCGGGAGAACAAGGGTGAGCCTCTGGGTGCTAGCCCAGCATTTACAGCCCGAATGCCGCGGCCATCAACTCTGAACAGTCTCCGGGTGCGGGGAAGGACGTGGGTGGCTTCTCTTTAGTAGGGCTTGCCTACAGTAGGGCTTAGTTAGTCCTCATGTGGTTCGTTTGTGCCCACCAGCCCAGGCAAATGCTGGACCTTCTGTGCACTCTGCCCAGCGCAGAGTACGGCCCAGCTCATTGTTTAAAATCGTTGCGGAAGTTAAACAGCAGAGCAAATGCGAGTAAATGGTCACCAACTAAACACATACAGATCTTTGGCAGGGATTGCTTGGATACTGCCTTGCATCCCTTCCAACCGGGGCGGGGCACCCTACATGCTCCCCATCCCCAAGGCTTGGCCTACCCAGAACTTTAGGCCCCAGTGTGACATGACTGCTATTCACTCTGCCTCACACCTTAGCTAGCGCTGCTCAACTTCCTCCCACTCAGGACCTGTGGCCTCAGTTTTCTCCCTCTTTCTGGTACTGTTTCTACCTGGAATGCCGAAGATTATTTCACTGGGCATCCTACTACATTAGAACTCCCTCTCTATGCTTTGACGGACCAGCCCCATGTCAAACCCCACTAACCATTGCCAGGGGACCCTGGAAGGCCAGCCATCCTGTCTTACTTTAGCAGCCCTGTTCCAGGCTGGCCTGGGGATGACAGGGATCAGCCAGAGGCATTTCTGGTGGGACCCATGTAAAGAGGAGCCACACTTCTGCTCTGAGTGGCTGTAGATTGTAGGTGTGATGATAAGGAGTCTTTGCTTGCTTTCAGATCTCCACTACAAACTAATCATGAACGAGAAGCCTCAGAAAAAAGGTAGGACTCAGCTGTTTGCTGGGAAGCACCACTCATGCCCACGTGGCGGCACCGAGGCCTGCGTGCTAACCAGTATGGGCCACTTTCCCCAGCCACAGCTGGTTTGCTGGCTCTCAGCACACAGGCATGAGGATTAGGAACTGTGCAGTAGGAACAGTAGGGAGGCTGCAGATGCTCCGGCTGCTGAGCCGAACTCCTGCAACTGGAGCAGCCCCGTGGCAGCCCCATCCCCTGACCCTCATAACCCTGGTAGGTCAATGGCTGCTGTGATACCTGCCCCTGGATCCCTAGCCCCGAGCCACTGCTTCCTTACACTTGAGTGAGGTGTCTCTCAGCATACTCCCTTTGGGGACTCCTTCCTGCTATCTCCACAGCAGCCTTAGGGGCCTGAGAACTAGCCAGTATCCAGAGCCCTTCCTCCTGCCCACTGTGGCTTGCTCTTCTTGTTGGTCCTCCAACATAGCACAGCCCAAGGGCACATCAGCTGAGTACCTAGGTTCCCTCCCCTAATAAACTTTCAGGTCATTTGGTAATCTGATTGTTAAAGATGTCTGCCTGGAAATGAATATCCCAATCCTGGCATGCCCGGGCTTCCTCTTCATGAAGGCATGCAGAGAATAGGAGGGCTCTTCAGCAGGGCAGGATGACCTGTTATGAACCCAGTGCAGCCCAAGCTGGTGGCCCGGCCCCAGCAGGACGTGGAGGTGGAAGCAGAGGCCATGCTTGATCCAAGACCTGCCTTAGGGCCTTCTGCTTCTTTGGTCACAGGACTTCTGCTTGGCAGCTGGCCCCTGCAGAAGCCTGGGGTGACTGCTCCTGTGGGGGCTCACCTGGGTGTGTAGCTACCATAAGAAAGTGTGAGACACAGCCCTGCCAGAAGCGGGTTCTCCAGCTGAGCCCTGCGTCTTCCCCACAGGCAGTCTCTCTACATCCAGTCTTCAGTCCAACAAGTCTACCTCCAACTCCACAGCATCTGGTGAGCCAGGGCCCTAGGCTGGACAGTCAGTGGGTCGTGCTGCCTAGAGAGTTGAAAATCCTTGTCTTTGGCAAAAGGGGCAGCCCCAGTATCCTATGAACAGAAACACCCAGTGAAAGGGTCTGTGGGACAGGAGTCCTTGAGGTGAGGCTCCCTAGGAGGATAAAGCCTGGCTGTCAGTGTGGCATAGCCAGATGCTGTAGCAGGCCCACCCTTTGGGGTAGTGAGTAGCTGTGTCATTAACAGAGGAACTCACGTACCCAGTCTGTTTCCTTCTGGGAGGGTGGTATGTGCTCCACCCATAGCCCCCAGCCCCTGCCCAGACAAAATACAGAGCCTCTTCTTACATTCACCTTCTATAGGAGGCTAGCCAGCTTCATAGCAGCAGCCCTGGGTGAATGAACGCACGCAGGCCAGATCCCAGGCATCTAGTTTCTTCTACCCCAAAACGGAAGCCAGCGTCCTCCACGTGACTAATCTGGCACGTCCAGCAGGCGCTACCACAGGCTTCACCCTCCCAACTTTATTCCTTCCCTCTCTTCAGGACAGCGGAGGAAACTGATGCAGGGTCAGGGCTACTTGGGTCCATTGGTTGATCCTAGAGAATGGGTCAGTGGCTTCTAAGGCCTTTTGTGATGGCCCTGTTGGTGTGCCCTGCAGCCAACTCTCAAGGCAAGACCAAGCCCCAGCCCAGCTCCTTCAAGAAGCAAGAGCTGAAGTCTGACGCCCTCCAAAAGACAGAGCTGGAAGAGCAGTCACTCAGCAGTGCTGCCCTGTTCCACAGCAGCAAGCTGGACAAGGCCTCTGGGGTGCAGGGACAGGCCAAGTAAGGCCTGCTTGCACCCGAGGACCAGGCCTGCACCCCAAGGGCCCCAAGCTTACCCTTAATAGGTTTCCACCCTGGGACCAGCATCTCCATAGACCTGACTCCATTTTGATGAAAATGGGCTCCAGGGAGCAGGCAGCTGCCAGGTTGCTTACTGTTCTACTGGCCTCTACTTTCTTCTCTCCCCTGGGGGTCCTGCAGAGACCCCTGGTTGACCTCATCTACAGGGGACCAGTGGAAACCCCTAAATTGCTATTTTCTCAGAGAAGAGACAGAAAGTGATTTGGCCTAATTAGTTTGCCAGGAGGGAGGGTGGGGTCCCCAGGGACAAGGGTCTTGATATGCAGACCTGGCTGGCTCGGAACTTACCCTGTAGGCCTTTCCCCGCCTCTGCCTCCTGTGTATGAGGATTACAGGTGTGAGCCACCACACCTGGCTATAGTCTGTTTTTACCAAGAACCACTGAGTAGGATTCCTGCGCCCGACAAGACTGGAGCCGGCATCTGTCTGATCAGTTTGCCTTTGGGAGACATGGGTTAGCAGAGCAGAGCAAGAGCCAACTCTGGGACCCCAGTTTTCCCAGTAGTCAGGCTCTGCCTTCTCTGAAGCCCCAATTCCTGGAACTACTATGGGCAAGAAACATGTGGGATGAGGTTACCTGGCAGCTAGCTAGTTGCTCCCCTCAACAAGGCAGAAGAGAGACCTGGGTCACAGCTGGCTCCGGAGCACCCTGGCTAGTGGGCAATGGAGCCCCACCTCTTCCACACTGGAGGCAGGGAGGCTGTGGGTGGGTGGCTAGACCATTCCCACAGGTCGTCTCTGTGCTGCTGTAATGTTTCAGAGACGAGGATGCAGAGGCTTCCAATTCAGGGGCCACGTTGGTGGGGGGCAGTCATGGCAGGCAAGGAACAGGGATGGCCTCCATACTGGGCCTGCCCCCGTGCCTGCGCAAGCCCACCACAGTGCAGCAGTGTGAGGTGGTCATCCGTCAGCTGTGGAACGCCAACCTCCTGCAGGCTCAGGAGGTGAGGCCCTGGGCAGGCATATGACCCTGCACGCCAGTGGCACGGGACACTGGACCCACCATGCCTCTCCCTGCTTTTCAGCTACAGCACCTCAAGTCACTCCTGGAAGGGAACCAAAGGCCCAAAGCTGCAGCTGAGGAGGTTGGGCTGGGCTCTCCAAAGTGAGTGCCTTGTGCCCGGCGCCCTGCCCCAGCCCAGGGGAGGTGTGGGCATCATGGCTAACTTTCTTTCCCAGGGACCAGGAGTCCATGCAGTTCCCCAAGGTCACCGCCAAGGGCCTCTCTAAGAAGTGGTAAGTCCCAGGCACAGGGAGTGGATGCCCCCAGGGACAGAAGGGTAGGGTGTCCAGAGTTAAAGCCAGGCAGGCCCTGCTCCTAGCCCAGCGACTGGCTCAGGTTACCCTGAGGCAGCTGCCAGATGCCTGCCCTGACCATGCTTTCCTCCACCCAGCCTAATTCTGAGCCCAATGCCTGCGACAGAGCGTGCCATCCTGCCTGCACTGAAGCAAAGCCTGAAAACCAACTTTGCTGAGCGGCAGAAAAGGCTGCAAGTAGTGCAGAGCCGGAGGCTGCACCGCTCCGTGCTGCTGGGCCGGCGCCCTGGGGGCCGGCCATCCTCTCTTGATAGTGGTTCACATCAGCCCTACTTTTCAGCCACACGAAATTCCAAGACAGACAGAACCCATGACAGATAAAGTACTTGTTCTCAGAATTGAGGAAACTGTCTATTTTCTCTATTATTTTACTATTCCTGCATCTATGCAAAAGCACGTTATAAAATGTTATTCTACTACCCACGGACTGAAAATAAAACTGTTTCTCCAAGGCCTAAGCTGCTTTCCTCACAGCTGTCAGGTGTCCCTGCTGCTCTGGAAGGGCCTGCCCCATCTAGGCAGCCAGAACTGGCACGGCCTAGGGGTGCTGTGCACTAGCAGTCTCACGGCATTTTGGGGCCAGCTGGCTTCCTCCCTTGACTGGCCTGCGGGCTGCCTTCTAGGTACATGGGCGTGACTGAGAACACTGTCCTGGCTCACCTGCTGGAGGGAAAACTGTCTTCTCCAGATCACACTCTACCTCAGGCCAGCAGATGCCACCCAGAAGTGGCCAACCTGCGCCTACTCCTACCCAGCATCAGAGCCTCACCCCTCCACTACCCACCCTTACATTAATCTCAGTAAACTAGACCAGGGCCTGAATCAGGAGGCAATGTCAGGAAGTAGATGAGGTCCAAGGATCCTAAGATGGACAGTACCCCTGCCAGTGGGCCTAGACTCACAAAAGGTAGACACAGTAAACTCCTGACAAACACAGGAATAATAAATTTATTATAAGAATCATATAACAGAGTAGTGCACATATAAAAAGGGGGAATTTCTTTTCACCAGAGCGCTACCCATTACAGCCCAGCGTGGCAAGTGCCTTAGGGCAGCGTTCTGAAGGAAGCCCATGCTTCTGGTGGCGGTACAGATAATAAGAATACGGTGTTCTGAGGCTGTGGGTCCCAATGACCGTATCTGACCAGCTGCTCATGTCTCACAGCACTGACAAAGGCCCTTCACCCAAGAGTGGCAAAGGAATGTCAGGGGCAGCCCCCGCCCCAGCTGGTCCTTCTCACAGCACTGAGGAGATCCATGAAGCTGAGGTCCTGCTAGCAGCAGAGAACCTGCTGCTGCCGCTGCCTTACTGGCCTTTCCTTCAAACTGAAACCTGGGCCCTAGATTCAGAAGTATTCATAGTGAGGTGTCCATGTACCTTATGAGGGACAACCTGAACCCCACACTGTGACTGGAGAACTGTGTGTATAGTGAGAGTTTCCTATGTCCTCGACATTCTCCAGACACAAGTACAATGTACTGTGACAGAGACGCTTAGATTGGACCTGAGTTCTCATGCTGCTCAGTGGACAGGGAGTCCAGGAAGGCTGTAGGAAGCATGGCTGTAGGAAGTGTTGGGCCTGACTTCTGGAAGAAATCAATGGGAAGCCTTCCTGGGAACACCCCAGGCCCTCATCAGCTCCACAGCTCCCTGATCAATACTGCACAAGCATGGGGAAACATCTGACAGTCCCAAGACAGAAGAAAAAGCAGGAAAGCTAGCCTAAGCCAGGCCCTCTAGGAAGCCAACCCCCAGTAACATATGGTAGTGGTGTGAACTCCGCAGCAGGGGTTGCCGCTGGTCCTCAAGTTCAGCTTGCTAGGCAGCTGAGAGGCAGGCCTGGTGGATGCTCTGGGCCCAGGTGTTGAGCAGGGCTGTGACAGAGTGCTTGTCGGGAAGCTGCAGCAGCCTGGAGGTCATGCACCGGTGCACTGACTGCAGAAAGGGGTTGGCATCTGCAACACAGCAGCAACCATGAGTGCCGGGCCTGGCAAGGCAGCGGCCCCTGAGCCAGCTCTTGCGTCACTTCCAGGAAGGGGTGCCACCTCTTAGTCTCCTGTGCTAAGAACTGGAATTTGTATGGAGCCCCAGACAGTCCCTGCTGTGTGCCAGCAGAGCCTTAGGGATTGATTATTCCACCCAAGGGGCTCTCTCTGGAGCCCGATCCCACAGACAGAGCTACATGAACTGCTTGCTGCTGGTGGCCCTGGGTCACCTTGGAGAGCTCCAAAGGAATACCATGAACTTGACTGCCCTCCCCCACTTGACAGGTGCCCCGAAACTGTTGGCAAGGGGCAAAGGACACAGTGGCCCTTCTTTCTCCAGGCAACTGCAGTCCAGCCTACCCTGCCTACTGGGGAGATGTGAGGTATCTTTCCGCTATATAGGGACCCTGGATGTGCAGAGATGATCCTGCCTGCCTTGGGTCTCCAGTGGTTTTTCTAGGTTCACCCACCATACTGCCACTGACGGTCGATCCACATCGGGCTCTGAGCAGGGTAGTCAGCAGGCACACTGAGCTCCAGTGGTGGCACACTAGGGAGGTCCTTGTCATCTGGAACACAAGAACTGCACATGTGAACCAGCTGACAGCCTGGCGAGCCGACACAACCTTGCTCACCTCATCCCTGCTTTGGTGGAGAAGGATTGAATGCATGGACTCAGGTGCTGGGGGGAGCTGGGGAGTTGGGACAGGGAATGAGAGGTGAGGCTAGAGCTGCAGTGTGGCAGGCCGTGTGAGCATGTGTGTAGCTTGAAAGCCCTGGAGACTGGCCTGAGCATGGATGGCAAACCACCACACCCACACCCCTGGACACTCACCCAGCTTGCAGATCAGGTGGACAGCGCCGTTGTTGCTACAGTGAGAAGGGTCCAAGTTCACCAGGAACTTGGGGTCCAACCTGGCCACTTCACCTTGCAGTACATTGGGGATGCTCTGCCGCTCGTCCTCCTCAAATCTGCGCTTCCGGGAACATACCACTGGGGACCTGGAGGAAGGGACTAAAGTTATTATGCAGATGCCACACAGCTTCTGGCTGCTGCTTATCACGAGGCCTAACCCGGGTATACATACACAATAGGTGGGCCATGGATGGCCATCATGGCGGGCACGAATGTGCGGTACAGGGAATGGTTGAAGACAGGTGAACGGATGTTGGCCAGGACTGCATCTAGGAGTGGCTGGCACAGGTCCTGCTGTTTGGTTGGAAGAACTGGGGGTGGTGGGGGTGTGGGCTAGAGACAAGACAGAAAGGGTCAGTGGCCTGGGCTCAAAGCCTCATCATTTTGAAGAGTCTTTCAGACTCCAGGGTCCTCCACAGCCTCTACAGACAGAGTGCAGACAATGGTGGCTGATTCTGAACGCATTCTAGCCTGCAGCCTCATTCCCACCCCAGTGCCCACATCCTCAGGGCAGGGCCTGAACAGAACTAGCAAACACAGGGGGTAGAAGGAAGGATTGGGCTCTGAGAGTGACTTCTGCCCTCTTTGCTCCTTGGGTAGAATTTCCAGATGAAATCGGGTTCCTTGAGAGCACTAACTTCTGACCCTTGGGCTCCACTCACCACTGCCATGTCATTCTTGAGTTTCTCCAGGGCAATCTCACACTTCTGCAAGGTCTTCAGGGGACACCTAGGGAGAGGACACATGGATCTGATACTCATATCCTGCTGGATGGCTAGGGCAGGCAACTCTTGGAGGCTGGTCCTGACCACCATCCAGGTAGTCTCTGGGGCCTCGGCCACTGGAAGCCATCACAGGACTCCCAGCCCACTAGCGTCTTCCAGAACAGACCCGGCAGGACTCAGTCTCATCTGGGCCAGCTCTTGTGCAATTTTGGCCCTGTAGCTTGAAGGGCTCTAACCTAAGAGGGCCTGGAGGACTGCGTAGCTCCAGCAGGCCTTACCCAGCAGTGACTGCCAGACAACTGGAAGAGTCCTCCTGAAGTCAGGCAGGGCTGTGATGCCTCAGTGGTTGTGCAGACATACCCACGGACACCGTAGTCCTCAACACTGCCATTAACTGTACCCTATGGCTGGTGGGCATAGGCGGTAGAAGCCTGGCAGCCCAATTCATCCATGAGCTTCTGATAGGCCTCATTTGGGTTTGTCTTTACAATTAGTGCACACAGCTGCAGCTGGGCCCACAGCACACGGGGGGAGACGCAGCAGTCTGCCAAAGGCCACTGGCAAGTTAGGAAGAGTCCAAAGGCAGACTCAGCCGTCATGGGTAGCTGCAGGTGGGGCCACTACAAACCAGGACCTAGGATAGTGTCCCATGAACCAGGCAGGCTATAACAACCATAGGAGGAAGTGTGAGGCCCACAAAGCCTTGGGCAGGGTTGAAAGGTGGGTGCTGGGACAGCAGGCAGGGTTGAAGCTTCAGCACACACCTACTTGTGAAGTCATCCTTGCTTCAGGTATGGTCCACAGAGCTGCTGTGGGCTTTGTTAAGCCCATACTGTCACCAAGTCTTGGGGACTCTGTGAGTTGTGGTACAACACAGTCCCTCCCAAAGTCCTAGAGCAGTGCTCACCGCTTAGAGGGGTCAGTGAGAATGTCCAGCAGGCTCTTCATCTTACTGAGGTCCTTTTTTCTGTCTAGGAAAGGAAGGGGACACTAAGAAACAGGCCCTGCATGTCCCGGCCCCGTCTTGGCCTGGGCCAGCCTACCTTCATTCTTGTCGATCTTGTTGATCATGCGTCGCAGGGGCTCAATGTACTTGGACAACTGCTTCAGCTTGTCCAGATACTGTTGTTCTTCAGCCTGGCTGGAACCAGCTGGGCTCATGACAGAGCTGGGGTTCACTGCAAAGGACAGGATGGGTAAGGTGGATGGCTACAACCTATGGGGCAGGTGTCACAACAGGTCTGGGGGTCCCATGAGATCTTTACAGAACTTGAGACCTTGGGAGGGGAAGGGGTATTAGGCGCCTTGTAGAGCTGTCCACCCAGCCCAGGCCCAACTTACCAGGGGTGTTTAAAGGTCCAGGGGAGGGGACGCTGAAGTTCTGTGGGGTGCGTGCTGTCACTGGGCTCTGAGAAGGCTGTGGTGAGGGGCTAGGCAGGAAGCTGCTGGGGGATGGGGCAGGGCCGGAGCTGCAGCCAAGTGAATAAAAGCAGGTCTGAGCCCAGAACACCATGCCAGCCAGGTCAAAAGGGGTGAAGGGAGGATGAAGCATGTGTGCACCCCCAGCAGCCTACCTGACATTGGAGTTGGGCTGTGAGCCAGGTTGTGGGGAGGGCTGTGGAGGAGGGGGCATCGACTGTGGGGTCTGCACCTGCTGGCCCGGCGATGGTGAGGACAGCATGGTGAGGCTGCTTTGGCTGACCTGGAAGTGAAGAGACTTAGCCAGCTCCATGCTATACATGCACCCTTCCCAAAGCACCCACTGGTCCGACCTCTCATCTTATACCCTTTTTTTTTTTTTTCCCAAGATGTTATACACTCAGGCACAAGCCTCACCTCTGGGTGCATACAGCACATGGTATCCAAGAGGGTGGAAGAAGGCCAGGCGGGCAGCCTGGCTCCTTGGAGGAGGCCCATGAGGATTTCAGGTTTCTGGGCTGGCATAGCTGTGGTAACTACTTGTTTTTCAAGCATTTGTGTGTAAGGAGGGAGCCTAGAAAGGCTTTTTGCTCTGCCTAACCTAGGAAACACTTCTCTGAGGATCAGTAAAAACGGTTCTTTGCTAGCCTATGGAGACAGTCTTCCTGTGTGCCTCCCTGAGTCTTCCTGTCTGACTCTAGGTCCAAGGATGAGGTCTTGAACGAAGTGGCTGTGACTTGTGCAGATGCTGCCGCCTCACCCCATCTTAACTGAGGTGAGATGGATGGCCAAGGAGTCATGTGCATATCTGTAAACGGTACTACACTGACTCCACAACACCTCTGGCTAGCATGGCAGAGCCCACTTGAAGGGATGAGTATCAGAGATCCCTGGGCTCAGAGGCCTGGCTCTGCCCATAGTGGCTGCCCTCTGCTGTCAGCGCACATTTGGACAACAGACACAGGGCTGACTGCACCACCACTAGCACCAGGGCCACTGACTATCTAAGAACTCCAGGGACTGAAAGCACAGAACCAGGCAAAGGGAACAGGATATACCTGCTCCCACTTTTCAGCAGAGAAGCATAGGAAGGCCGTTCTAGGTGGAGAGACAGCTGCCCATTGGTCTCTTGCTATCCTGGGATACCCTGGAGGCCATACCAGCTCAAAAGGCCCCAAGCATCCAAGGAAGCACTTCTACCCCAGTCGATCACTGTGCACCAAGCACCCCCACAGCCTGCTTCTCGTGGCTCACAGGCCAGCCAGCCAGTCTGTAGACCAAGTCAATCAGGTGCCTCTCCCAGCTTACTAGACACTGATGCCCAAGTGGGGCCATACTGCCACATCTCCCCACACCATCTCTGCCACATCATGTGGATTGTTGGGCAAAAATTACTACTTATGAGTAGGTTCTTAACCTCTCAAATTGGGAATAGGCACAGGTCCAACAAGGAAAATGATACCTGCACTTCTCAGCTGCTCACCCCTCACTGGCCAGGCCAAGGACGACATGGGGCCTGGTAGACTGCTTGGCCATAAGCTCTCAGACCCAAATTTAGTTTCTAGAGACCTCTTGGAGTAGCTCACACCATCTATAATTCCAGCTCAAGGACCCAATGCTGCCTTCTGGTTCTGTGGGCATTGCCCTCACATGCACTAACCCCCACAGAGAAGAAACGTAGTTAAAATCTCAAAGAAAAAAAGGGTGGCCCAGACAATGATGTCACTCTGTGACCAAGAAACCCCTGCACAGTGGGGAGCAGGAGAGCAAAGTCAGGCATCTGGCTGCTGGGCAGTCACATCAGTCTTCCTCTGAGCAGAGACTCACCCTGACTTAAGGAGGTCAGAGTTGAGCTCAGCAGACATCACAGCTATGGTGCTGGATGCATTAGGAATCCATGGATACCAGGGCAGGCACATGTCACCCAGACCATAAGACCTGCTTGAAATCAACCCATGTCCTATCAAAGTCCCAGAACCACACAGTTCCAGGAAGACTACAAAGGGTACAAAAAAAGTTGTAGTTTGAGCCCTGCCCTATTGGCCTGGGCTTTCATACATGTTCCCAAGAGACCCTGAAATCCCTTCCCTTTCTCTGTGCCAACTGCCTACCCACACTTTATACTGCTGCAGCGGCTATTCCTGGTAGGTGTTCCTTGGCTCAGGCATACTACATGGGACAGTTAGGCACCCTGAGGGTCACAGGACTGAACAGGGCTACAAAGTAGGAAATTTCACAGTTCATGTCCTACCTTAACACTCACACTTGGGCACAGGACACACACTTTGACACCCTCTGCCTTTGTTGATGACATAGCAGAGATCAAAGCAGCTACCCAAGACAAGAGGCAGTGGTCTAAGACATGAAGGAACAATAATCAGAGGAGCATAGGGGATAGAGAAGCCTCCAACATAGGTAAAACCTGCAGAGCCCAGCCAAAGGGTCATGCCTTTGGGGACAAGAGGGTCTCTTCCCTGTTGGGAAGCCTGAACATCAGTGTCATGATTCTCTTCCCCTAGCATAGTCCAGGCTGCACCCAGCCTATGTACACATGAGACTCTTCCAGACCCACATAAGCAGCATGTGCCCCAGCAAACCTCACCAGGGTTTTACCAGCTCTGGGACTTCCAGGAGACCGAGTGTGGGGTCAACCTGGATTCTTTGGCTGCCCCAGGCCAGGGCAGCTGGCAGGCCCCAGAGGATGGGAGGCAGGGAAAGATTTCTAATAGGAAGGAAAACAAACCAAGGATACCCTTTCACCTCCATGATCTGGAAACTCCAGCCCCCTAGAACCTTCTAGGAGTCAGTGCCAAGTTGTTCAAGTCTTAGTCATCACAGATATCCCTGGTACAAAGGAGCAGCCCAAAAAGCATCTCTAGCCAGAGGTGACCTAGCAAGGAGCAAGGATGTGGGGAAGAACCAGAGGGGTGCTGCTGTTCTTGGGGCTTCTATCAGGGAAGGGGCGGGCAATGGGACACGGACACATTCTTAGCCCAGGCATGGGCATGTCACAGGTGCTAACAAAAGTCCGGGTGGCACCTGAGGAAGAGCTTCTAGAAGACAGACCCTTGTACAGCATCTGTCACTTGCATGTTATAGGCAGGAACTCGGCAACCAGTCAGGTGACTTGCTCAGGGAAAGACCAGGCACCGTAAACATGGGGCTTCAACAATGGTGACAGTTTGCTAGGTAGATCATGTGGGAACTATATAGCATGATTGGGTCAGAAGGAAGAGTCTGGGTAGACTGACAAAAAAACAAAACAAACCCAGGAGACCAGAGGAACCACAGCTGGGGATGGGGGTCAATTCAAAGGGCCACAGAGAACCTTGAGACAGGCAGGCACTGTGATTCTGCTCCTTTCTGGATCCTATACCTGCCTAGCACTTAAAACTGTCCTTGCTCCTGACCCAGTACTGAACAAGAACTTGGAGTCCCACTCCAGAGAAGCAAGGAGCTCTTGTCATGGTCTGCTTGCTTACATTCACCATGTTTCACAGACAGGCACTGGGGATGCTGCTGGCTTGGCCCTGGTGATGACAGGAAGGAAGGGCTGAAGTCAGACAGCTATACTGTATGGCAGAGGCAGCCTGCAGCCTTTTCTCCACTGGTTCTCTCCCTTAAGTACTCTCAGGGCCTTTCTCCTCTGACGAGGCAAGCAAAAATGAATGTGCTTAAAAAAAAAATATCAAGCCAGCTGGGTCATGGTGGCACATGCCTTTAATCCCAACACTTGGGAGACAGAGTCAGGAAGATCTCTGAGTTCGAGGCCAGCTACAGACTGAGTTTCAGTACACAGAGGAACCCTGTCTCAAAAAAACAGTAAAAAAAATAAAATAAATAAAACAAAAAATCAAATCAAAGCAAAGCAAAGCAAAGCACAACCTGTCTTAGATGCTCTGGCCACACTGTACTGCTCCAGACTCCTACAGCTGATGTGTTTGTCTCCGGCACACTAGCCCAGAGCTGCATGGACATGTCCCTACCTGCCAGGACCTCACAGGACAATCAATAAGTCTGGGTGGACTTAAGGTGGTATCTAACAGTGATGGCTCAGTCAATCAAGCCATAGTGTTCTATGAAAGTGGCCCAAACTTTTTCAAGTACCTTTCATCTATTTTTCTCTATTTTTCTCTCTTTCCTTTCCTCCAATGAACTCCCTTGCCTTCTGGGTTTAGGAAGCACTATAGACCCTAAGAACCACTCAGTTCACAGTAGGAGACAGAGGCAGGATAAGGCCCAGGCCAGAACTTAGTCCAAGAGATGCACAGACAGGAGAGAGAGAACAAGGCTGTCAGAGCAGCAACAAAAGCAGGGCTAAGGGTTCCTAGGAGAGTCTACTGACAGGACTTGAGTCCTGATCCTCAGCACGCTACCTTCTGCTCCTTCCCACTGTCCACAGTGAGAGCTAATGCGATTTTACACATGAAGAACCTTGCTCAAGATCTGGCATACATCACACCCTCAAAATGTTGGGGACCTTTAGTTTCCACAGAGTCCTCTGTTAAGTCATCTATCCCCACAACTCCACCTGACTCTGTGAACCCAACGCACATTGAGCAAGAGGCCTCTGCACCTCTGAAGAAAACTACACAACTGTCCCATGACTATGTGCAGTTCCTGCATGTGGGCCCTCAGGCAAGGCAGGAATTCCATCTGCTAGAATTATAGATACATTTTCCTTTGTAGGAAAAGGAATTCTAAAGTTCTTTCAGTTATCAGGGTTCCTACAATAAACTCACTCATATGGAAAGCCCTGTGATGAAGGCACACTCAGGCATTCTACTCTCATCATCTTCACACAATGCCGCACACAAAGGAATACACAGGTGGGGGACATGTGTACAGACTATGTCCATGAAATCATCAGGTGCACAGAGTGGAGTCCACTAGGTTTCTATATGGCAATGACTCCTCCCAGCTAACTCTATAATATTCTGGACCAGCAAAACGTTTGCCCATGGTGGCTGTCCGCAGTGATCTGGACCATACAACTCAATGTCAGTGAGTGCTTAAAATGTGATCGGCACTACTGAGGATCTGGATGCTCGGTGGAAACCTAACAGCTGCACACAGTGCACAGCATTGCACAGCAGAGCCCTAGGAAGCCACACTGTCTTCTTTTGAGATCACATCTCATGTAGCTCAGGTTGGCTTCCAAACTCATGTCAAGAGTTCCAGAAATGCTGCCAGACAGACTCAGTTGTATACATGTAGCTTGGCAATCAAACACAGGGCCTTGTGCATGCTAGGCAAGTCCTCTGCCAACTTGACTGCATCCCCAGCCCATGTCTTCTGTTTTACTTTACCATGAAAACAAAAGCAGTATGCCCATTGTAAAGTAAAGAAAACGCCCCTCAGGAAAATCAGTATGAGCTGAGCACGCTGAGACATGCCTGTAGTCCCAGCACTTGAAAGGCATAGGCAAAGGCAGGCAGATCTCTGAATTCAAGGTCAGAGTGAGTTCCAGGACAGCCAGTGCAACACAGAGGCATCGAGTAGTTAACTACACAGGCCGCCCTGTCGGAGGCATCTACTAGGTAACTACATAGGCTACGCTATCAGAGGCATCTAGTAGGTAACTACACAGGCCGCCCTGTCAGAGGCATCTAGCAGGTAACTACACAGGCTACACTATCAGAGGCATCTAGTAGGTAACTACACAGGCTACGCTATCAGAGGCATCTAGTAGGTACTACACAGGCCGCCTGTCAGAGGCATCTAGCAGGTAACTACACAGGCCGCCCTGTCAGAGGCATCTAGCAGGTAACTACACAGGCTGCCCTGTCTTGAAGGAAAGAAAGACAGACAGACCAGTAGAGCTTGGCCTCAAACAAAGTTTACCACTTGTTTCACTGCTCTGAAAGCCACCATGAGGAAGTCATGGACAATGAAAGAAGGTGTGCTTCATGAAGGGGCGCAGAGGAAACCCAAGCTTCCGGGCTGAGCCCTATAAGAAGCCCAATCCGTAAATACCTGTGCTGTGGGCTGTCCGCCCAAAGAGATGGAGCTTGACGGGCCAGCAGACATGGTGGAGGTGGGCGGGAACCGAGCTCTTACGTGCATCCCGCCTTGGGCCAAGGCTTCAGCAATCATCTTTGAGGACAGAGGGACAACAGACAAGATAATTGCAACAAGAACTGCAGTGCATGATAGGTGCAGGTGTGTGCAGCCTCAGGAAGAGGCCCCTTCAAAGGACCCAGATGTGTGGTGGTGCTCAAGGACACAGTCAAGCACACATCTCTATGCTCAGGGAAGCACCAGAAGTGTAGCGGTACCGAGAATGTAAGCAGATTTCTATTCTACTAGCCAGTCTGCGACGGTTGTCCTGGACACACCTTTGAACTGTAGGCAGCACAGACCCTGGGGAGTTAGAGCCAGACTGCTCAGGTGGCAGTCTAGGGAGACCAAGTTTTGGGGACAAACTTGGAAAGAGGACATGTCAGTCAGGCTTGCAAAGAGCAAAGTCAAAGTCACTGAAGCAGCATCTTGCTCAGCACAGCATTCTCTTAGAAGTGCACCTGCAGCCCAAAACACACCCATCTCTCTGGCCTCCTGGGGATGCTGATTCTGGAAGTGTGGAGGAATAAGGGAGGGGTGGCAGGAGAGCCTGGGGTTCTCCCAAGGAGCTTCTTCACTAATTAATGATGAAGGGCTCTCCACAGGGGCACAAAAACATCTGCAGAGCCAAGTCAGGAGCTTCAAGACCAACAGAGAACTTTCCTTGGGTCAACTTCTGTTTCTTGATTCACACAACCAGCCAAAGGGAGGCTATCAATGTCATGGCTTTGGAGCTGGCTGTCTTTACTCTGTGTTCTGAGGGACGGGCGGAGTCCAACCTAACTCCTGGAAAGCAAGGCCTACATGCACTCAACATGTCACAAACTAGATCAAAATAACACAACCTGGCACAGAAAGTAGGACCTTGCCACCAAAACAAAACAAAGCAAACCCAATAGCAGATGTGAGAGCATCACTTCAGCACAGGAGTTAAGAGATAGCAGGGGCAATGTGGTGAGACCCCACTTCAAAAAACTAAACCATTTAATCCTAGGAAGCTCTGAGCTGAGCTACCAGAGAAGTATGGTATTGTAGATGATGCAGTCTGTGCAGCAACGGAGCTAGAGACAAGGCTCCAGGCCAGGCCTATGGGCCTGCAGCATCACACACACAGCTCATGTTCACACACAGGAGGTGCGTGCTGCAAGTACCACAGAAGATCCCAAAGAGAACATCTTAATAGCCAAGAAAGGTAGAACCCTCACCATTCCTGCAGTCAGCCAAACAAACCTTCTGGTCCTGATGGTGGCTGTCAAACCAGGGGTGCTGTCCCAAACAGCCCATTCCCCAACAGGTCACTGGCAAGACACAAAGAGGGCTAGATGTTCAAGGGCCCGCTGCCTACACTGGGGAGGAGGAGATGAAGGGAATTTATTTCAGGGTTCTTAATAGGATGGGGAGATCATTTAGGGAGGTCCGTTCACAACCAGTGGCTGCAGTGCCATCTACAACACTCCTTCCAAATGACAGGACATTCACCGTGATGTGAGAGATGCCAGCTTCTCTCCAGAAACAGGAAAAGCCACAGGAAGGAAGCATGATGGACCCTCTGGCTGGTTTTCTTTTCTATCTATCTATCTATCTATCTATCTATCTATCTATCTATCTATCTATCTATCTATCTATTTTTAATACTTTAAAGATTTATTGTATGAGTTTTGTCGACATGCATATATGTGCACCATGTACATGCCTGATACCTGCAGAGTTTCATTCTCTGAAACTGGAGTTACAGATAGTTGTGAGCCACCATGTGGTGCTGGGAACTGAACCCATATCCTCAGGAGGAGCAACAAGTGTTCTTAACCTCCAAGCTGTCTCTCCAGCTCTATCTAGTTTATTTTATAAGGTTTTTTTTTTTTTAAATAACCTGTGTATGAGTACCTAGACTGCATGTATGTCTGTGCAACCATGAACATTCAGTATCTTTGGAGGCTGAAAGAGTTAGTTATACATGGCTGTGAGCTACCACATGGATGCTGGGAACAGAACCCAGGTCCTTAACAACAGTCAGTGCTTTTAAGCTTAACAATCTCTCCAGGCCCTGACCAGTTTTCTTTCTTTTCTTTTCTTTTTTTTTCTTTCTTTCTTTTTGTTTTTTCGAGATAAGGTTTCTCTGTGTAACAGTCCAGCTGTCCTGGAACTCCCTCTGTAGACCAGGCTGGCTTTGAACTCACAGAGATCTGCCTGCCCCACCTCTGCCTCCTGAGTGCTGGGATTAAAAGCATGTGCCACCACTGCCCAGCCTGACTGGTTTTCTTTATGAAGAACTTCTGACAAGAAAAGCTCATTTTCTTCTAGGCAGAAATCCCAGAGGAAAGCACCATAAATGTTTATAGGATCAGATGAGCAGCTACCAAGTGCAACTTACTGTCAATGAGCCTTTCTCTACTTCTCAATGCACTGCTACCTCCAAAGGAATTCTAACGGAGCACAGAGCACCTGCCTGGTTCCCGCCTGTGGCCACTGTACAGAAGACTGAGGAGCACAGAGGTGAAGATCAATTCTAAGTCGTCGTGTGTGTACACATGACAGACACCCGTCTTGTTTTATTGATCAGTTTTACATTACTAATCATAGTGTGTGTTATCGCTCGGTTTTACATTACTAGAAGAACAGAGAGTGAAAAGACGCATGCACAGGAAAATAAAGACATACTCTGCTCTATTTTACTGCTGGAGCCCAGCAAATTCCACTGAAGATGACTTCATCTCTCCCAGCAACGTGAGCCTCTTCAGGCAAGAGAGCCGGATAAAACAAACAGCATAGGGCTACTGATCCTTCCAGAACATTACTTACCCTAGGCAAAGAGCCCTGCTACCATTACCACACAAATCACAGTACCTGTCACCCTGGCAGCAGTGTAGGCTCTACCAAGATGTCTCTACTATTGAGGCCCCCATGCTAACAACTCTCACAGGGCTGGCTGGCGGCCTGTTTTGTGGTGCGTGTGTGGTAGTTTGCATGAACAAAGGTACAGTGTGTGGTTTCTTCATCCCAACAGAATATGTGGGTACTGGGTTGGAAATTCTAATCTGTCTTTGAGCTCCTGATTAATTAGATAACTGGCCATGGTGTACAGGAGCCTTCAAAGGCACCCTGTGGTTCAGTCCTGAAAAACTTAAAAAAAAAAAAAAAAACTGTCTCAAACTCAGCCATACACTGGCAAAATCACTTCAAGATCAAAAACAAGGTGCTACTCAGAAGAGCAGCAGGTACTACAGTCACTCCTATGAGGCTGCTTCCAATAAGGAGTTTCTGCCTGCAGAGGGTGCTCTCTGATGTCAAATCACAAGCCTTAGGTTTGGTTGTGGGCTGTGAGCCAGTGGCAGAGCACTTGCTAACCATGCTTAAGGTTTTCTTTTTTGTGCTGTTTTCTGAGACAGGGTTTTCCTGTATAGCTATGGCTGTCTTGGAACTCGTTCTGTAGACTAGTCTGGCCTCAAACTCACAGAGATCTGCCTGTCTCTGCCTCCTGAGTGCTGGGATTAAAGGCACACATTACTACACTTGGCTATTTTTTAAAACTGTTTTAAAATTTACTTATTTTTAAATTATGAGCATTAGTGTTTGCCTGCATATAAGTCTTTGTAAGAGTGTTGGATCCCCTGAAACTGGAGTTACACACAGTTGTGAGTTGTCATATGGGTGTTGGGAATTGAACCTGGCTCTCTGGAAGAACAGTTGGTACTCTTAACTGCTGAGCCATCTCTTCAGCCCCTAAACAAATGTTTTAAAGCTCATTTCTCAGGTTGGTACTACTAAAAGGTGGTCAAAATTTTAATAAGGGCTAAGTCCCCTACAATGGGCCAGTGTGTATAGAAGTGATAGTATTAACTGTCAACTTGATTGTCTTTGGAATTACCAAAGAGACAAGTTTCCAGTATCCCTGTGAGGGAGTATCTTAATTAGGTTAACAGAGGTGACTCCACTCCCTGGGCTGGGGTCCTCAACTACATAGACAAGAGAATGTAATCTGAGCACAAGCATCTATTGCTGTCTGCTTCTTGTTTTGTTTGCAACCAGGTCTCTCTAAGTAGCCAGAACAGGTCTGGAACTTGCTAAGTAGACCAGGCTGGCCTTGAACTCACAGGAATCCCCCTGCCTCTTCTTCTGGAGGGCTGGGATTGAAGTGTGCACTACCACACCTGGCCGTTCTCTGCTTTTTGACTGTAAGATGCAATGTGGCTGGCTGCCTCATGCTTCTGCAACCTTGACTCTCACCACTATGGACTGGACCTTGAACTGTGAGCCAGAAAAACTCCTCAAATTTCTTTTGTCAGAGTGTTCATTACAGCAACAGGAAAAGTAACTACTATAAGACACGACCACAGAAACTGAACCTGAGTTCCTTCCTCTCTTTTATGTCCCAGGTGCCTCAGGTGGTAGCTTTGATCTACCACATGCTCCCTGTCATGACATGCTGCCCCAATATAGGCCTCAAAGCAAGAGTCAAGCAGCTGTCAACTGAACCTCCACAAACATGGAAAACATCATACATAAATTGTACGGGGGCTGAGAATGCAGATGATGGATGGAGTGCTTACCTAGCATGCAGAAAGCCCTGGTTCTACCAATACTGCATACATTGCATGCCTGTAATCCAAACACTCACAGGTAGAAGAAGGATGAGAAGTTCAAGGTCAGCCTCAGCTACATAGGAAGTTAAAGGCCAGTCAGGTCTTTCTGAGACCAAGTCCAAATAAATCTGCATAGACAATACAACTTCAGTGATGTGAGAAAACCAGAAACAATACCCACTGCTTCCTGCTCTGCGTGCTTCTCTTACACCTCTCTAGTCTCTAGTCTCTGCAGTTCTCGCACTCTGAAAAAGCTCATAGACCAGAGTGCTACAGTCATTTTCCTGGCACTAAGGCAACCTGCATTTCAAAGAAGCCTCGATTCCAGGACTTTTCCCTTCACGAGGGTCTATCATGCCCAAGCAACCCAGCCATGCTCCTCTCCCCAATACTGCCAGAACACAATGAGACCAGTCAACCAGCCCCTCAAAACTGGGATGCAGTAGGTAAATACAGAAGGTGGGAGGAGGGTAAAGGGGAATAACAAGATACAAGTGGTCCAAGAGGAAAAATGGGAAAAGGAGGGGGTCTTTAGCAAGGAGGAGGGAGGTAAATACAGAAGGAGATAGGTAGGTAAAAATAACAATAAAGATGTCTGAAAAAGACACAAAGAATCATACTACTAACTATCTATCCAAATAAATAACATATAAGCTAATTCTCTGTATGGATATACAAATACAAAATAACATGTACACACATCGCACACACATACACACAGGCGTGCGCACGTGTATGCGCGTGAATATACACACAGACTTTTAATAATCTTTTCCTTCTCATCAGGGCTAGCATTGCTCCCTTTAACACCCAAAGACCACATTAATAAAACCCCAAGACATGAGAAGCCCTTTTTTGAGTTGTTGACCAGGGCTATCCAAGAGACTACCAATACATACAGCCTTAAGCCTCCCCACAGAGGTGTAAAATAAGCCCCTATTGCTGAAGACACCATGCAGTTCAGAAACAAAGCCCACAGACCCCTCAACTGGAAATGACCCGAAGGCCCCCTCCCTGAGGACTAGCTTTCATGATACCAGAAAGCACCAAGCACCTCCATCCAAAGAGGAAGGCAACCAACAGTCCTACCCAGCTAAGATGCCTGTGAACCAGATCAACGACCAGCAACCAGCACGGCAGGATAACCCTAAGAGTGCAGTCGTGGCACGCAGACCTGACAGTAACCAACAGCTCTCTAACTGGACCTGGACGTGAGACAGACTTAACAAGCAGTCTTCACCCCTCATCAAGAAAACTTCTCTTTGCACCAGGCAGAGACCACTACAGAAAACCATAGCCAACCAACTGCAGAGCTGTGAAGCTCAGTCCCACTCAATACATCTACAAAATTCTCCCTCACCTAAGGCTAAGAGAACATTTCACAAGAGGGGACAGAGGCTTATAACAGCGAGAGGACCAGGGAGTTTTCTGTGAGACCTTTGTCTCCATGTTGGGAGCAGTGAACCCCCCAGATTCTGAATTTCTTGTAAACAACTTGTTTTCTTCTGCTCTGAGACAGCTTGCAGCTGCTCTGAGCAGGAGACCCTCAGGAGTTCCTAATGGCAGGGGAGTGGTTTCTGGTGAGTTTGGCTGGGGCGTGGCTATCAGTTAAGGATCTCTATATAAGCAGCTCTGGTACACAATAAAGGGGTCATTCTTGCATCAAGGATGACCTGTGTCTCTGTCTGTGAGTCTTCGTGTGTTTCAATCTCCAGCCCCTCGCCTGGTTCACGAACTGTATGGTAGCGCATGGAGTGCAGATGGCTGTGGTGCACTGCATCTCCTAGTAACACCAGAAGTTACGTCTGTAAAGTCTCACCAACATGACTGTTCAAATGTAAGCTGACTAGCTGGACAGTGGTGGTGAACGCCTTTAATTCCAGCACTTGGGAGGCAGTGGCAGGTGGATCTCTGTGAGTCTGAGGCCAACCTGGTCTACAAGAGCTAGTTCCAGGACAGGCTCCAAAGCTACAGAGAAACCCTGTCTCAAAAAACAAAAAAACAAAACAAAACAATAACAACAAAAACAAAAAAACCCACCAAATGTAAGCTGACCAAGATGACGCCAATGTACATGCCGAAGTGGACAGGGAAACGCCTATGAGGCCTCAACCCTACATATAGGCAGCTGAAGAAAGCTGGAAGCAGAAGCGGTGATCTTACCCAGGGAAGAACACACCAACTGGCTGTCAAGTGCTAAAAACATACATACAAGTAACATTATATGGGCTGAATAGGTTATATTTAGAGATGTATATATTTATATACATACATTTATATGTATATATACACACATATATATGCATATAATAAGAATTAGTTTTTAAAAGGTTGTAGTTATATTAGTCTCAAAAAGAAACAAAGAAAATCACAGTGACAGGGCCTGCCTCCTAAGATATCATATTTGGACCGAAAAGTACAGTGCACTAGAAACACAAGGCCCAAAGAAGGTATTGAAGATGGGTGGACGACCTCTTAAAACACTGATAGCATGGTCCTAATAAACCAACTCCATGAGGAAATAAACCAAAATGGCCATTACCCTCTTAACTACCAGACAAGACAAATGTCTCATTATCCCAGCTGATCAGGAAGGATCTACGCACACCTTAAACTGCACCTGCCACTGATCTCACGCTGGGGTAGAAGAAACACTAACAACCAAGCTGTATCACTCCCCACCCCCATTAGCAAGACACGGGCAAGGAACTGAAGGGAGCCGTGCACTCGGCACAGAGGCTTGCTGTGGAACACCAAGCACACACGGCCACATCTGTTTCTGGTGGCTGACAAGATAGCACCAAAGCAAGCAAAAGGAATACATATAACCTCCAGTAACTAAGAAGCCAGCAAACAATCCAAACAGGCCCTCACCAGTGGCCTCTATCGTCCTTCCACATGCTGAGAGACGGGTGAAAGAGGACAACTTCCATTTCTTACTCAGCCAAGCCAGCACTGCAGGAGCTCATAGCTTCTGAGTCCCAGGTCAATGGAGAGAAGGTCAGAAGGCAACCAGAGAAATGGTTTCCAGGAGCAGGGCAGGCGCTGTGTCGCTACTGTGCTGACTCTCAGCCGGACCTCCTCTGCATAGGACATCCAAAGGAAGGAGCCACCAGAAGCCTCAGACACAGTAGGGATGGCAAATGAACTGTATCCCCACAGGAGCTCAGATTCCCCAAGCCACACAAAAGAAGTCCATTGAGTTTTCACACAAGGTCACGTGAATCTGAGTGTAGACAGCACAAGAACCCTGGACCCGCTCACTTGGTGCAGCAGTGGGAGAGGTTAACTACACACGTCTTCTCAGGACCCCAGCTGGAACCTTGAGGGTCAGGAGGGGCTGTCAGGAAGCACTCCTCCACACTGTAAAATGATGTCGGACACATTCGAAAGCTGTTATCTATCTGGACACTGAGCTCACCTGGCTCATAAACCTCAGCGCAGGCCTTGGGAGGGGACACAGTGTAGTCATGGCACTTCCGATGGACAGGACCCAGCAAGAGCCTTGCCAGAGCTCCTAGCTAAGTCCCAAGTCAGCACTCTCCATGTGCCCACTTGATGGAAGAATTGTGGTCAGCACAAAGACGAAGCAGATCTTCGAGACAAATCACAGGGACCCTAGATGTCCAATTCCTCAGACACCAAGAAAAAAGCTAGCCCGGGCCTCCTGCATGCTGCCACCCCACTGGCATGTGATGTGTGGAGAATGTGCATGAACTGTCGGTGATAGGGACACTGTAAACACTTTCCTCACACAGCACAAACCCCTGAGGGCAGCAAGCCCAGGATCTCTCTCCCTGCTCCTGCTGACCACTTTTCTGTCAGTTTCTAAAGAGCTGCCCTCCCTCCCAGACAGCTGTGCTCAGAGGCTCCAGTGGAAGCTCAAAGAGGATGAAACCCCGAAGCTTTCCTTTCTAAGGCATCTCCTTCAAGTGCTACAAAGGAAAGAAGATGAAGGTATCCAAGGGAACATAGAAACAGCACACACCAGGCAATGAGCAGGTTCTAGCAAGTACCAAGCATGGACAGCCATTCTGAGGGCCTCGGGGTATCTGTGTGTGTGTGTCCAAGAGATAGAAGACTGCTAGACTTTACCATCTGATCCTCCAATCCAACCAGAACTCTCATCACAGATCTTTATGCAAACGCAGACATGCACCACCACCTGCTAGCAACTAAAGAAACCCTGAGCTCCCATGGCCCTCACCTGGACGCCGGGAGCTACCATCTGGGCAGCCTGTGCTGTCTGCACTGCCGCCTGCTGTTGCACTTGGGGCTGCACCTGCTGCACCTGGGGCTGCACCTGCGGCTGCTGGACCACCATCGGAGCACGGACCTTGAAGGAGGAAGGAAAAGGCAACTTGGAACCTGCACAGAGAGCAGAGCACCCACCGCCTGTGTGGGAGGCTTGAAGAATGGAACTTTCAGAGCTGCCGAGATGGCTGCCTGTTGCCAAGCCTGACGACCGCAGTTTGAGCCCCAGGACCCATGTGGTAGGAGAGAACTGACTCCTGAGAAGTTGTCCTCTGACAACTTCAAGTATCTACATTTGAACTGTGGCACCACAGGACACCCCATCTCCCCCCCCCTCCCAAATTTTAAAACAAGAAGCCTCTCTTGGGATGAGGAATGGGACTGCAATGACACCGTAAGCTGTAAGGCCACCTTACGATCTGTTGCTTGATCACACAGGGTCAAAAGAAATATCCCACACCAGAGTGCCTATGAGTTGGCCAAGCCAAGTATCACCTCCCCAGTTCTGGCAAGAAACTAGACAGTCCTCCCATGCACACCAACCACAAGCACAAGCTAAGCAACGACTTCCAGAGCTGAGCACACAGCCTGGCCTACTCAGCCCGTAAGAGTGACATTGAGAGCCCAGACTCCATGAAGGAAAGTAGCCTGGCCAGCTGCAGATGGCTTAGCTAGAAAGATGACCTTGGGTGATGGAAGACAGGAAACGCTACCATGTGGAGAGATACAACTACACATACAGGACAGCTCCTGCATGGACAGATGCACAGTGGGGGCTTCCTCTTAGATCTCCAAGCTACCCGGCCCAATTCTAGTAGGCATCCTGTTAAGGAGTACAAAGTCCTGGTCCCAAAAGCCTGGTTCCAGGTAATATGTGAGTGACTGAACCTGCAACTCCTAACCCTCCTAGCCGATTCAGGTGAGATATCTGTCTCGATGTCACTTGGTGAATCACAGGTAGAAAAGGTCACAAAACCCAAGGGAGCAGAAAAGATGCTCGAATTGTTTCTTTTCATGGCAACTAGTTTTGGTGGCAAAAGTCTGTTTTCGGTAAATGCTGTGAGCTTTACTTTCTATCAATATGCACAGTGAAGCAGGAAATAACTAAGTTTTATATGAATACTTGTCTCAGAAGTATGGCAATGATGAGGCTAAAAGGGCTGGGGCTGGAGTTTGCAGTAGACCATGTTTAGTTTACACGAAGATCCCAGGTTCAACCTCCGGCACCAACAGAAAAACAGATCCACAGCTGATGGACAAGGCATATCCTCCCACATGGTGAGATTACCTCCTAATCTAATCACGTGTACCAGACATGCCACAGACACTGCTGAAATCAGCCATGTAGTTTAGAAGATGTGACAGCCTGAAGTATATAAAAACAGCTCTAGGACACACACCCCTCACCTCCATGTGCTACGGAGCTGGATAAGAAGACTTGAATAAGAAAGGCTGCCTGAAGCCAGTGCATAAAGGACACACTACCTACATCCACAGGGTTTTACAAACTGCTGATCACACACAACACCATAAGAGATGCAGCTGCTATGCCACAGGCCTTGCTCAAAGAGGTACTCACAAATTTCAGCTGCTGTTGAGCAGCATACAGCATTTGTCCAGGGAGGGCTTGTGCTTGTGACACCAAAGGCTGGCTTTGTGACTGTGGTGGGAGTTGTGGTGCTTGGTTCTGAGCAACTGGGGACTGCTGGGCCTGAGGAGGTGCCTGGTGATGCTGTGGATGATGCATCTGTTGCAGCTGCTGGGGTAGGGCCTGAGAAGAGGGAGGCTGTGGCTGCTGCATTGGTGGCTGCTGCATTGGTGGTTGGGCCTGCAAAGGTTGCTGCTGTTGCTGCTGCTGCAGCTGCAATTGTGCCATCCTCTGCAGTTGCTGCTGTTGGATCTGAAAACAAAATAATAACACTCAGTTACCACAACAGCCCCTGGAGTGTTAGCCTTGACCCCATGAAGCTTGGGTAAGTGAAATGGGCCCAGCCTTCAGGGAGACCTGCCTGCATGGCCTCTCATAACGGGAAGGGGAGCATGCCAAATTCAGGACTCAGAGCCCTTTAGGCCAACAGTAGTTGTTTTAGACACTAAGAACAAACCAAATTTGCTCTTGTGCCCTGGCCACTAAAGGATGGTTCACAACTAGCATGATTCAAGTGAGACAGGTTCAAGGAAGGTCCAGGAAAAAGTAACGAAGAGTAGATACAGTCCTATAGCAGGCAGGCTGGAAGTTCAGGCAACTGCAGGTGCTTGTACCTCTCCAGACAGGCTCTGTCTCCTGGAGTGGTCAGCAGTGGTCAGCAGTCTGACCTTCATGAGGATGGCTATAAGGAACATAGGCAAGACTAAAAACATAAAGTCAACATTGGGAAGAGAGATTCCAAAGCCAGAGCATGTTAGAAGAATGAGGAAACCTCCTTGGGCTTTCCTCCCTCGACCAACACTTGCTAGGAAAATGGATGTAAACACGTCTAGGCTCTGACTGCAAACCACTTCTGATCAGCAGCACTTCTAGGGTGACATACTGCTGCCCTGCAGGACACTAGCTAACAATTTTGATTCTGCACCCAAACACTAAGAAACAAAACAGGTGTTGTATGTGTCCACGAGGCACAGCAGAGCCAGCCCTGAGGGTGTGAAGAGCAGAACACACATATAGACACACAGTCCTTCATCTCACCCGGGCAGACCTGGCCCCGGTGGTTGTGAGTGTGGGTCAGATATGAGGACCTAGGAGCAGAACTGGCCCCGCTCCTTGCTGTAAGCTGCACTGGTGAGCTTGCTGAAGCAGTGCTGGAGAGCTCGCCCGGGTAGTGACCATGAGGGAAAGCTGGCACGCTGACCAACCCAGCTACCACCCGGGACTAGAATCAAGGCTGTGAGTTGGTCCAACATCCACTTCATCTATGAGCTGCTGGAGCATGTGAAGGGGATGAACCTGCATATCCAGAACAGCAGGATCTCCATGACACTGGACAACAACAGGATATCCAAGAGGAGCCCCAGTGAGAGCCCATCATCAGTGGTGTAGCAGAAGCCAGAGGTCTCAAGCCAGACCAATGACTCCAAAGACTCCTAGCAATGAACACTTGCAAGTAAAGATGAATAGACCAAAGGGTACACTGTGTGATTCAATGGGCCACACTATAGTTTCCACAAGAGTCTTCTTTTTTGTTATTATTTGTTATGTTTGGTCTTTGTTTTTTTTCTTATAAACATTGTTTTGGGGGGTAGGTTGCAAGGGCAGAGCGAGGACGCAAGTGGATGGGCAAATAAGTGGGATCAGAATGCATGATTTGAAATCCACCCAATAAAAGTTAAAAGAATTTTTAAAAAAAGAAAAAAAGAAAAGAAAAAGAAATGTGCTAACAGCATCCTGAGCTTGGAGTGTCTGCCTCCCTTCTTTCTTCTGGTAGCTCATATGTACTTCTATAGACCCTGGTACAAACAGCAGGTCCATGGTACAGAATCAAGACCCATTGGAGAGGCCTTTCTCCTGAACTAGGATCTACTTTTCCCACCTGTGGGAAGGCCCACGGAAGAGGACTAGTGTAGCCATGCACCAAACACCTTGGATGACACTTGTTCCCAGGCTCAAGGACTACAGAACTAAGGCCCAGGATAGCGACAAGGGAAATTGGTACCTGTTGTTGCTGGCTTTGGTGATGCAACTTAATCAGGTGTTGCTGCTGCTGTTGCTGCTGCTGCTGCTGGAGATGCTGCTGCTGCTGCACTACTGCTTGGAACTGTTGCTGCATGGCATTCTGTTGTACCTGGAATTGCTGTTGTTGCTGCTGCTGCTGTTGTTGCTGCTGTTGCAGTGCCACTGCCTGCTGTTGCTGGAACTGCTGCTGTTGCTGCTGCTGCTGCTGGAGATGCTGCTGCTGCTGCACTACTGCTTGGAACTGTTGCTGCATGGCATTCTGTTGTACCTGGAATTGCTGTTGTTGCTGCTGCTGCTGTTGTTGCTGCTGTTGCAGTGCCACTGCCTGCTGTTGCTGGAACTGCTGCTGTTGCTGCTGCTGCTGCTGTTGCTGCAATGCCACTTGCTGGAGCTGCAGCTGAGCTGGAGAGAGCATCTAGACTTAAGCTGTGCCACCCTGAAGGTGTCCCAGAGCAACAAGACAAGGAAGGCAGCAATAGCCACTGCCTACTGATAAAGCTGCCTCTGGCATCAGATCCCCTGGAACTGGAGCTACAGAAGGTTACTAACCACCATGTGGGTGCTGGGAACTGAATCTAAGTCTTCTACAAGAGCACCCAGTGCTCCTAATCACTGAGCTATCTTTCCCATTCCGGTCTGATTAAACTTAAAGAACTATCTCACATTCTCATCTGAAACCCATGAAGGACTGTTTCTCCATCACTTAGCACCATTGTCACGATTCGTTTTAGCCACTGCTAGTAGGTGCGAGAACTTATGTTACAGACTTCTAAGTTTGATACCCAGAAAACATGTGTACAACCACAATACTCTGAAAATAATGAGGCTTACTTCATGGTTATTTTCATAAACATTTTTTCCATCCTGTGTTTACATTAAGTTATTCATTATGTTGTTGTCATTCAAATCTTTTCTAATACATGGCTCAGTGGTTAAAAACATGTGTTCCTTGTGTTAAGGATACAGTTCACTTCCCAGCATCCACATGGCAGCTCACAACCACCAATAATTCCACTTGAAGGATATTTAATGCCCTCTTCTGGTTTTCACACAAATATACATGCAGACAAAACACTCAAACAGATAAATAAAATAAAATAAAAATGTATTTTTTAATGAACCTGTTTTTGTCTGTTTAGCCATTACTAATGGGACTAATACATCCTTACCATTTATTTTCATACTTTTCTGGGTCTTACACTACGGGTATGTCTCTTAAAATGTAATAGAAATCACATTCCATCTTTTATAGAAAAACTTGGGGATGGAGAGATGGCTTAGCAGCTAAGAAAACTCAGTTGCTCTTCCAGAGGACTCAGGTTCAATTCCTACCACCTGTGGTGGGCAGCTCACAACTGCCTATAACTTCACTTCCAGGGGATCCAATGCCTTTTTCTGGCCTCTGTGGGTGGACACACACACACACACACTCCCCTCCCCCTCAAGAGCAAAGTCATTTCATTATGACTAACATATTCCCACCTTATTTTGTGTCTTTTCTCCTCTGCCTTTCTCTGCAAGCTGAAAGTACAGGACATGCAGCTGAGCTACATTGAGGTACATACAGGTAACACTGAGCTACATCCCAAGCCCTTGTCTCTCATTTTTCTAAGCATTTGTTTTTGTTGTTGTTGTTTCAAAGATTTAAGTTGTGTGTTCGGGGAAGTATACATAAATGCAAGTATTTGCAGAAGGCAGAGGCACTGGATCCCCTGGGACTGGAGTTATAGATAGTTTTAAGTCAGTCCATATGGGTGTTGGGAACTGAACCTGGGTCTCTATAAGAGCAGCACATGTTTTTAAAAGCTGAACCATCCTTCCAGTCTCTACTTTTGTGAACTGCAAGAGTCTTTTTGGATGACTGTACTGGATTTTATACATTGTTTGGGTTGTTTACTGCTTTGTTTTTTTACTCCATTTTTCCTATTGCTTTGAAATTTATTAACTTATTTCCACTGTTTTATGAATAATTTTCAACTTATTACATATAATTAAAAGTATAAAGCTTGCTAATATACTTCCTAAATTTTTTACACTGATTTAATAGGGGGCACATGCATACCATGGCACACATGTGAAGGTCAGAGGAGAGACGGTAGAAGAAAGTTTTCTCCAAAATGTGCATTCTCGGAATTAACCTCAGGTCACCAGTTCTTACCAGCATTTTAACTTTTTTCCCAAATCCCCACTAGCAGCAGCAGCGCTAGGGACTGAGCCAGGGCCTGAGGACTCCAGGGAGGTTTTCTACTGCTAAGAGTATCCGTAGCTTCTATTTTGGTACAACTTCTGACCCAGGCTGTGCCCTCTTAGGGACACTGGTTGAAGACCTGAACCGGGCTAAATGACATAGGAGTGCCTGCAGAAGGCATGAGGAAGACAGAACAGAAGGCCACCGGCACCTACTTCAGGTGAACCCAGGAGGCAAGGGCAAGGCAGAGAGCATAGCAGGATGTATAAGGGGAGAACCACTTCAGCCTTCAACTAGAGCCACCCAGCAGACCAGCCTCTGGAAGCTGGAAACAGGGTGTGGGCCAACAGCAGACAGGAGACAGTATGCACAGGATACCACAGCCTCTCCACTGAATGTCTGAAAAATAATTTATCTAAGACCAATTCTTAGGCGTGGACTACAAGACAAACTACAAATCACAAAAGCATTCCAATCCCAGCATTCTAAAGCAATCTCTTACTGTAAAAGAGCAAGTAATAGCCAGGAATGAGGATGCAAGCTTAAAAGCTCAGCAGCACTCAGGAGGCAGAAGCAGCGGGTACTGGTGCTGAGAAAGTTCCAGGCCAGCCAAGACTACAGAGTGACACTGCAACCTTAGTCCCAGCCAGGGTAACTGCAGCTAGGACAACCTACAGAAACCTGTGAGGAGGGCAAACACCTCCTTTAAGAGCGGGGATCCCAATGGAAGAACGAATGACTGCAAAGCACAGCCAAAGCTGACCACGGTAGGGGTAGATACCACACCCACAACCTCAAGGCACACCTGGGGGCACATGGTGCAGAGTATCACGTATTTGTGTCCACAAATCTCAACAGACAGTTCTTATATTTCACTAATAAAACACAAGCTTTAGCCAGGCAGTGATGGCGCACACCTTTAATCCCAGTACTCGGGAGGCAGAGGCAGGCAGGCGGATCTGTGAGTTTAAAGCCAGTCTGGTCTACAGAGCAAGTTCTCGAACAAGTTCCAAAGTTACAGAGAAACCCTATTTCAGAAAATAAAACAAAAACAAAACAAAACAAACAAACAAAAAAACAAACCCACAAGCCTTGCCAGGCAGTGGTGGCACACACCTTTAATCCCACCACTTGAGAGACAGAGACAGGTGGATCTCTGAATTCAAGGCCAGCCTAGTCAGACAGCTTTCCAAGACAGCCAGGGCTATACAGAGGGGCCCCGTCTTGAAAAACCAAACCAGCCAGGCGGTGATGGCACACACCTTTAAACTCGCACTCAGGAGGCAGAGGCAGGTGAGTCTCTGTGAGTTTGAGGCCAACCTGGTCTACAGAGTTCTAGGACAGGCTCCAAAGCTAAAAGAAAAGAAAAGAAAAGAAAAGAAAAGAAAAGAAAAGAAAAGAAAAGAAAAGAAACAAGAAAAACCAAACCAAAACAAAAACCCAACCTATCAACCAAACATACCATAAACCCCCAAATGAGCAAGTCTCTCCCCCTCCTCACAGCCCCACTAGGTGGGCCAGCATTACTCACTCCTCTAGGCTCAGAGAAGGGTTGGTGTTTTCCTGTGTACCCCAATATCCACGACCGCTATCTGGTACTCCTTGACACTTTTCCCAATAACACCTTAACCACAGAACAGCCTGCAGTGCCACCTGCCAAGGAGTACAGTACTCACTCTGTGGAGTTGCTGCAGATACCACAGCCATGCCATGGGGGGCCATCCCAGAGGTTCCAGGGGGTGGCTGCCCGGAGAGGGACATTGGCTGTCCCATGGCGCCAAGGCCACCCATCCCACCTAGGGACTGTCCTGGGCCCCGAGGAGGCATGCCAATCCCAGTTGCTCCTGCAGTGGGTCCACCAGTAAGGCTCTGCAGTGCATTCATGGGGTCTGTGGGGACACAAGAACACAGTCTGAGGAAAGCAACACAAACTGGGCAGTCTCACAGGTAAATGGCTTCTGGGCATAGATCCCCTCCCTCCTATGTGTTTGACCAATTCAAATTCCCAAACAAATAGGAGCCTGAAATTCCCCCAGATTCCCAGGGGATAAGGCTCTGGGTACTGACCAGGGAACATACTCCATGTATCACCCCAGCCTGTGTCAGTGTCCTAATGCTGGGTTACAATGGAGCTTGTGATGTGCACAGCTTCACGTCAAGCCAACTAGTGACCAGACCCTTCTTCGCTGTCCAGCCCTTCTATGGGGTAAGCCCACAGCAGACTTCCAGAGACACCAAAGTATGAAGCTCTTCTTCCCAGCAGGCAGGGAGCATGGTGGCTAGGTTAAAGAAGCAAAGGGCACTGGCAGGCACTCCCTAGGGCAAGCACAAGTAGGCTGGCATACCAATGCCCTGGTTTTTGCAGCCAAATCTCTATAGAACACAGACCTGAGGCCAGGAGCAGTATATCAGAACAAGTAAAGGAATATGAAAGAGCTCCACAGAGTGCTGAAGGGCAACGCCATGCCCACTGAACCTCAGGACACTAGGTGTAGTAGGTCAGTGAGCAAGGCCACAATCAAGGACAAGCAGCCAGATGTCATCATCACAGTAGTGTTAAACTCACAGGAGACAACTGCCTTTAGACAGGCATCACCTGGCCGGTCATCTGACCACAGAATTGAATAATGCCCAATGAGCCTACACTACAGCGATTCAACACTACGGAGGCCAGGCATTCTCCAAGCCATATGTACTTGGCCAGCCCTGGGCTGTGGGCAGGAGAACTATTCAAGCAGACACTTACAGCTGCAGGCCTAGGGTAAGCCTCAGAGGCAGGCTGCAGTGCTAGTGTACACTTTTTTGGTAATAGTGGTGGTGGTGGTTCTGCAGACAGAGCTTAACACCTTCCACACGCTACACAAGCACTCTTCCACAGAACCTCATTCCCTTTTCTGACAGGCTGAAGATCAGCTGGCCAGAGTGGATCTGAAAATCCCATGATGACAGCTCAGAAGACAAAGTCCAGGGTTCAATTCAGTAGACATAATTTCCCTTAGATGATAAACTTTGAAATTAAAATAAAAAGATTTCTGAACTCACAAATAAGTTTGTAACTTAAAGTGAATATGCTAGGCATTGGCGGTACAAGCCTTCGATCCCAGCACTTGGGAGGCAGAGGCTGGCGAAACTGAGTTCGAGGTCAGCCTGGTCTACAAAGCAAGTACCAGGACAGCCAGGTCTACACAGGGAAACCCTGTCTTAAAAAATAAAAAATGGGGGCTCAGCAGTTAAGAGCTCTGGATGCTCTTCCAGAGGTCTTGAGTTCAATTCCCAGCAACCACATTGCTCACAACCAATTATAATAAGATCTGATGCTTTCTTCTGGCATGCACGTGTATATGCAGAACACTCATACATAAAATGTAAATAAATTAAATAAAACAAGACAAAACAACAACAACAAAAAAGCGAATACAGTTGGGGGTGTGGTGGTGTGTATATCTTTTGCCCCAACACCCCAGGAGGCAGAGGCTGGCAGATCTCTGTGAATTTGGGGCCAGCCCGGTCCACATATAGTTCCAGGACAGCCACGGCTACAAAGAAAGAACCTGTCTCAAAAACATGTCCCCACACCCGAAAGAGAAAGAAACAGAGGAAGTGAATTTCCACAGCTATTATATAACTGTGACATATTACTATGGGTTATTACACTAATATACCACAATACAATGGTTCTTCTAGGTAATGTATCAAAGCCTTCTAAGTTTTTATGATCTTTCTGCTAAACAAAACAAGATGGAAAAGCATTGGGGTAACTTCAGTGTACAAGAAAGCAAAGGGTGGAAAAGAGGCTGGGACACAGCTCTAGTCAGTGGCCACTCCACCCGAGATCTTTTCAATGTTCCAGTCCAGTAAGCATTTGACCCACACACAAGACATGCACCCTCTTATCCCTGTCACCCAAAACTGGAGGCTGGGAAAACTGAACTTTGAAAGAAGAACTTACCACTGACAGAAGCTTGTGATTTCTTGTTATCTACAGAGAAACACAAACACAAAACCCCAATGTAAAGTTTTGCATAAACTCACATTTCCCAGGATAGGTCAGTTCTGCAGGTGTCTGACCAGGGTCATTTGCTAAAACTGAACTGACCATGCATAGAAACAAGGCCAATAGAACCTGGAGCCTCAATTCCAAGGAGCTGCTGGTATTCTAGTAACTAGGGAGGAGATGTCTACCCCCAGCAATGCTGTACACAAAGAGTCTGGGCATCGAGGGGGCAAAGAAACTTGGGGGTCTATCTCAATGAACTACCCCCAAGGCTAGCACACCATAAGCTGAGAGGCTCTGGGCCTTTACTTTCTTCCATGTCCAAAGTCTTGGATCAGATGCTGAATCACAACAGGAGTGACAGGAACCCATGTTGGAGCTAAAAGAACACTGCTGAGAATTCGAGCATCTCCATTTTCTTGGTGAAGAAACCAAGTCTACCTGACGTTGCTCACGGCTAGGAATCTTGTCTGCCACACCCAGCCCCTATGAAAGAAGTGCCCTAACCATTGGTGGTCCAGAACTTCCTGCTTAGTCCCTCCATCTGAGCATGTGGGCTGTGTACATCCCAGGCCATCATCCTAAAGAGCTGGGCATGGAAATCCAGGCCAGGATACACAGCTGCCTGCTCTCCAGTCTTTCTCTTTTCCCACAGTTCCACCCAATACCCCAAAGAAAGTAAGATCGGGAAAGTCTACCTTGCTGGTCATTCTGGTAAAAAAAAACTTAGTGTAGAATTGGGCTGGAGAGATGGTTCAATGGTTGTGCTGGCTAGTTTTATGCCATTCTAACACAGGCAAATATATACTGGTTTTTGAGACAGGGTTTCTCTGTGTAGCCCTAGCTGTCCTGGAACTCACTCTGTAGACCAGGCTGGCCTTGAACTCACAGAGAACTGCCTGCCTTTGCCTCCCAAGCACAGGGATTAAAGGCCAAGAATGCACTACTCTGGCAGAGGACTGGAGTTTGGTTCCTAATACCCACATCTAGCAGCTCACAACTGCCTGTAACTCGAGCTCCAGGGGACCTAATGCCTCTGGGCCCCATGGGCACCTGCACTCACATGTGCATAGCCACACACAGAGACACACACACACACTCATACACACATACACATACATACACTCACACATACAAAAACACAAAAAATTTAATAATCTTTTTTTAAAAGTTAGTGTGGAGTAGTAGGGCATGGAAGTACACACTTTTAATCCCAGCACTCAGAAGGCAGACACATCTCTAAGTTCAAGGCCAGCCTGGTCTATAGAGTGAGTTTCAGGACAGCCAGGGTTACACAGAGAAACCCTCTCTTGGGGGGGAAAAAGTCAGTATGAAGTTATTATCACTGAGCATTGGAATTCACAATGTCCTCCCTTGCTCTCAGTGACCTGACGCTAAAAGCTGCGACTGTCACTACAACCTACATTTTGTCCCCAACCCAAGTGGAGTGGGGGGTTTGGATGGGCCCATCAAGACAAGCTTGTCTAGAGCTTATACAACTGTCAGCTGGGACTCAATGTTTACTAGCCTGGTGCCCGTCACAGGCTGCGGCCATCCAGGAACACTTGGTATGCCTCTGCCTAACACAAATGTGCCAAGAATCTTGCCCCTGGAGGTTATGACAACTCACATCTGAAAAGTTGGGGAGCTGCTCACCAGGCTAACATCACAACAATCCTCTCTGAATCAGAGGGGACAAGAGTTGAGGAAAGGGGACCCTCAGCACAGCAAGGAGAGAGAGCAAGGACTTTGGGAACTGACTTCAAAAACTTCAGTCTCAGAAACACACAGTTCAGGCCTCCCTAGGGCTAGCAAAATCAACTTTTCTGGGATAAAATCCTCTTACAAAGTAAACTGCTCACTTAAGAACTACCCAGAGGGCTAGAGAGATGGCTCAGAGGTTAAGAGCATTGCCTGCTCTTCCAAAGGTCCTGCGTTCAATTCCCAGCAACCACATGGTGGCTCACAACCATCTGTAATCGGGTCTGATGCCCTCTTCTGGCCTGCAGGCATACACACAGACAGAATATTGTATACATAATAAATAAATAAATATTTTTTTAAAAAAAAGAACTACCCAGAGAAGTCATAAAAAGGAGTGAGAACAGCAGCCCACTTTACATCACTTTGAGATCAACATTTCCAAGTCAAAATCCACATGTTTGAGGCTGAGACCTAGGAGGGTGGAGAGTCCAGAAGCAATGAGGAGCTTCCCAGAAAAATGCAATGTTCTAATTCAAGTGCTAAGGCCTACCCGAGAGTTCCGACTACACAGTCACAAAACAGGCCCCTCAAAGAACCACAATTACCCCAAAATATGAACTCTTACTTACGAATATCTCTGAAATGGATAATGAGCCGGGCCACAAGGGAAAGGTATTCATCCTGAAAGTAAAAACAAGAAGTACTTTAATCCCCATGGAGAAACAAAGGCACGGGATTCACCCTTGCCACCCCTAGGTGGCCCAGCCACCCAGCTGAGCTTCTTCCTACAAGTCTTGACCTCCTGGATTGCCTGAGATGGCCACAGCCACTCATCCCACTTGGCTTCCTCTGGAATCCATCTCTCATAGGGAGGCTGTCAATGACTTCCCCTCAGAGGTACAAAGTAAGAAGGGCGTAGAGAGCTTCCACCCAATGAAGAGAACACTCGGCTAGGAAGCCCTCGGAAAGTCCCTTCTTATCACAGGGCAACAGGGCAATCAATGTGAGTCTGTGTGGTGTCCCAGGACTTGGCCCAAGGTCACAAGGTTTGCACTATCGGTAAATTAGTACTTTTGCTTTTTGTAACAACACTGTGGTGACCTTTCCCCTGCTGGTGAGACAGGTATTTATACATAAATCTGCATGAGTATTTCAAAAGAAAGATATGGTCCTTCCTTCTTCTCCAAAGCCCTTCCAGGATGACTGAGGATGCTCTTCTGATAGTTGAACAGATGAGAGAAAGAGCAAAGCCCCTTTCAAATATGACGATGAAGGCTACTGTGTTATAATATGAGCGGCGGGGCTGCGTCCCCAGCACCCCGGCCACCTGGCCGCTTGGCTAGCTTATGCCCCGAAATAACAACACACAAACTGTATTCATTTAAACACTGCTTGGCCCATTAGTTTCAGCCTCTTAACCCATTTCTAATAATCTATGTAGCATCACGAGGTGTGCTTACCAGGAAAGATTCAGCATGTCTGACCTGGCGGCTTGCTGCATCGCTTGCATCTGCCCAGGAGAGCGGAGCATAGCCTTTCTGAGCTCACTTCCTCTTCCTCCCAGCTTTCTGTTGTTTGCTCCTCCCACCTATGTTCTAACCTATCAGGGCCAAGCAATTTCTTTATTGCTTAACCAATGAAATCAACAGATTGATATATGATACTCCCACATCACTACTGCCTGCACAGGTCTTTCTTCTATGCGGTCCTGTTTCTGAAACACCCAGTGGGGCTTGCCTTCCACTGACTGTCTTGTGTGTATCTAAGGCACTCCTGGGTTTTCTAGGGAAATAACTACTAGGAGTCTACACTGAGGTATAGAACAGAGATACCTGGGTTAAAATCCCATGCCACCCATCCCTTCCTCCACTGAAATGCCCATTCCGCTAGCATGGCAATTCAGAAGAGCAATGATGTGGGATTCCCTCTGTATGCTACAAATATGTTTTACTAGCAGTGGTTAGTAAAAAAGCTTATTTGGCCTATGGCAGAGAAGAATATATCCAGGATGGAAGAGAGATATATAGAGAGAGAGCAGGTGGAGTCAGGGAGATGCCATGTAGCTGCCAGAGGAGGACACACAGGACCCTTATCAGTGGTGATATACAGATTAATAGAATGGGTTGATTTAAGATATAAGAGCTAGCTAGACAGGTTCCTAAGCTGCTGGCCAAGCATTGTTGTAATTAATATAATTTCTGTGTGATTATTCGGGTCTTGGTAGCTGGGAAACAAACATGTAGCCTCCATCTACAGAGCAAAGGCCTTAGTATCTGCTGTTTGCATGAGTTGTTTTCCAAAGTTATCCTGGAACTGACAAGGTAACAAAAGACAGAAGATAAACATAGGCTGAACAGCTGTTGTCTCTCATGAATTTCCAGGGTCCATTTAGCATTTTTTCCTCACTAAAGGAATCAGTGTAGAGTAAGATGAAGGGGAAGCTGGGGAAACCTGTCATCACGGGGCGGGGTCAGACAGAGGAAAGAACGCACAGCTGGAAGAGGGAAATTAAAGGTTCTGTCAACACAGCCCTTTCCAATGCCCCTTCAATTTCTGACTGAAAGACAATCTGCCAAGGGCGAATGAAAGCCCCACAGTTAACCGTCTGTTATCTAAAGTATAGTCATGTGGTGAGTGGGGGACCAGGGATGTTAGAAGTCAAAGAACCAGGAATGGAAATGAGACGGCCAAGGTCCAGTGGAAGAGAACCGTATGTGACTTTCTTTTAAAAACCTGAACTGGTTTCTCTTATGGTCTTTAAAATAGTTTAGCAAGTTTTTTTTCTACTACCATGAAAAACATGACTGGAAGAAGCAGATTCCAGAAGGAATGGCCCATGTTTACTGAGACCTAAGACACAGCAGACCAAGCACAAGAGTATGTCCCCAAAGTCTTTTCCACACACAGGCTGGAACAAAAGATCCAGTGCCTGGGGCCAGGTGTTCAGACTTGTGTTGAGATGACCAGCACCTCTCCTGGTTTACAGTATGACAGTCATCAAGGTCCAATTCAGCTCTATAGACCAGGACAGTAAGATGGGGACAGAGAATATTCTATATATCTCCAAAGGCTGGTTATCTAGGAACATGTTGGGGGGAACTGCCAAGGAGACTTTCCACAGGAGACTTCAGCTACTGCCATTGCACCCTTGACCCCAAGGCTTGGTTGCCTTTTGTTCCTTAGCTGTTCACCTTCAGTGGTGGGTACTGGTGGCTGAACTGACCTTCCCACAGGTGTGTGTATTCCTAGCCTTTCGTCTCCAAAGTCCTCTAAAACATCCAGGATGACTGAGAAAAGAGGCTGAGGGCCAGATAACTGCTCTATCTCTCTCTCCCTCTGCCCTGCTCATCATCACAATTTCATGTGTCCAGGCTGCATCCAAGGCAGTTTATGAGCTGTAAACAACAACCCCATAACTAGTACCAGGCCCAGGTGTAAAGACTTTACATGTATTAATGCCCTTAGTATTCTTTCCCACCGATTGGTACAAAGATGACGATCACTGGCTAGTTTACAGAGAAATGATGAGAAGGCTCAGGAGCAGCTGGGGACATAGCTTGGCAACAGAGCATGTGTGAGGCCTGAGCTCATGCATGACACACACACGACAGGAAAGTGTGGGTGTCAGCCTCACAGGCTTTCAAATACTCATTAGTCCTGCCAAAAGAAGAAACAGCAGCAGCCTAGAATGGGCTCCCACAAGCAATGAGAAGGGAAATACCAATATTACCCACTACTCGGCACCGCGTGCTACCTTTTGTAAAAGACCCAAGGAGGCTGAATACAGTCACTTAAATCTGCAGAAGAAATTCCAAAGGTTAGACTAATCACAGAAAGTATCAAATATCGGGAACCAGGCAGGAAACAGCCCTGTACAAACATCCCGTGCTACTGGTATGCACTCAGAAAGTGTGTCAAGCTTTCATAACCGGGAAAATGAAAGAAATCAAAAGAAAAATTCAAAACTCAACAAAAACAAATGAGTATCAAGTTGTTGGCAGAATACTATAGGAAAAAAGGATCTTTAAAGTGGTCATTTTCTGATAGAGAAGGAAAAAAAAAGAAACAAAACCTCAAAACTACATTAGTTCTCATAGAAGAATATGGACACAAGGAAAGCTGCAAAAGAATCTTAAATTTAACAATGACCATACTTGGTCACTATGGAGACTATCTGCCAACGATACGAGAAGTCAAGGTATTCATACATAACATGCACGGTTCCAGATGAAATTTGCTTTCAAACAACTCTGTAAGGTTAATCTCAGTTCACCTCAACTGAAAACATCAGAAGGAAATGGTGGAGCTTTATTCATTATCTCAAAAACATGTTGTTTCATAGTTCTGTTCACAAAAGACACAAAGCATGAGGCAGGGCAGGATAGTGAGTTTAAGACGAGTCTGGGCTAAAAGTGAGACCCTGTCCAAAAAGGCGGGGGGGGGGGGGGTCATGGGACTCAGAGACCAAAGCCTTTACATCTGCAATCGTTTATTACACCAGCCACAGGACATTAGTAATTCATCATCAGTTTGCCAATTATAAATACCTTAGCAAAATGCATACAAAATGCAGTTCTTTGTGACTGTTCAACCTCGTATACAGAATGTCTGCCATATTATTAAGACTCACTTTGTAGTCGCATGAACAGTTCATACTTTATATGGCCAAACAGTACGGCTACATATGGACACATTCTGTTTATCTACCCACCAGTTAACAGGCATCTGAACTGTCTCTATCTACTTTGGGCTTTGAGAGAAGTTATGACTTTAGTCTGTGTATGGGAGTTTTGCCTCGTGTGTGTCTGTGCATCATGTGCATGCAGTGACCAAAGGGGCCAGAAATGGGCACTGGAAGCTCTAGAGCTGGAGTTACCACTGTTGTAGGCCAGCACATGGCTGCTGGGAATTGAACTTGGATCCTCTGGAAGAGCAGTCAGTGCTCATGACCACTGAGCCATCTGTCCACCCTCTCCACTTCTGGCTTTTATGAATGATAATATGGACATACTGGCACAAGTTTTTTTTTTAATATTTATTTATTATGTATACAGTATTCTGTGTGTGTCTGCAGGCCAGAAGAGGGCGCCAGATCTCATTACAGGTGGTGGTGAGCCACCATGTGGTTGCTGGGAATTGAACTCAGAACCTCTGGAAGAGCAGTCAGTGCTCTTAACCACTGAGCCATCTCTCCAGCCCCTGGCACAAGTCTGGATGTTTTCATTTATGTTAAATAATACCTATGAAAATATACATGGAGCATGCCATGCCTTTGTTCTTCAAGCAGTCACTATATTGCTCTTTACAGCAGGGCACCATTTACATTCCCCCAGCAATGTAAGGGCTCTGATTTCTCTACATTTTGTAAACATTGCTTCTTGTCTTGTCTGCTTTATTTTTAGATGGGAGTCTTCTATGTTATGCTCAAATGATTTTCTGGCAATATATGTAATGCCAAGGGTGGTTTTTCACTCTCTTGGTAAGTCCTACAGTGCACAATAAGTTTGTATTTTAATTAACTATAAATGAATGTGGTAGACATGCTATGAACATGCAAGTAGAGGACAGAAAACAACTTGCAGAAGCTGGTTCTCTTCTATGTGGGTGGCAGAGAAAGAACAGAGGATCATCAGGCTTGGCAGCAAGTGCCTTTGCTGCTGAGTCATCTCAGCAGCCTCAAA